TTTTTAAAGTTACATCAAAATCTCTTATAAGTATTTTATAACATAATTTTACCTTTTTCAAAATTGTAAGAAATGATGATTGTACATTTCTTTAATAGTAAATTTACTTAAAAATTTAAGGTAGCAGGACAGTAAAAATCTACCACTATCAAACATAAACCTATAGTATTCTATAGAAGCCCTGTTTAAAAACAATTACAAAAAAGTTGACCCAGATTACAGACAGAATTTAAAGTCTTAGGCTCACAAAAACAAAGATAAATAGATGGGACTTAATTAACCTAAAAAGCTTCTGCACTGCTAAAGAAATAACCAGCAGAGTAAACAGACAAGCAGAGTGGGAGAAAATCTTCGCAATCTATACTTCTGACAAAGGACTAATATCCAGAATCTACAGGCAACTCAAAAGGATCAGCAAGAAAAAGACAATCTCATCAAAAAGGGGCCTAAGGACATGAATGGACAATTCTCAAAAGAAGATATACAAATGACCAAGGAACATGAGAAAATGCTCAACATCATTATCTGAGAAATCCAAATCAAAACCACAATGTGATACCACCTTACTCCTGCAAGAATGGTCATAATAAAAAAATAGAAAAATAATAGATGTTGGTGTGGACGTGGTGAAAAGGGAACACTTTTACACTGTTGGTGGGAATATAAACTAGTATAACCACTATGGAAAAAAGTGTGGAGATTCCTTAAAGAACTGAAAGTAGAACTACTATTTCATCCAGCAATCCCACGCCCTCTATCTACCCAGAGGAAAAGAAGTCATTATACAAAAAAGATATTTGCATCCCCATGTTTATAGCAGCACAATTTGCAATTGCAAAAATAGGGAACCAGCCCAACTGGCCATTGGTTAAGGAGTGGATAAAGAAAATATGGTATATGTATATACCATGGAATACTACTCAGTCATAAAAAGGAATGAAATCATGGCATTCGCAGGAATCTGGATGGAATTGGAGACCATTATTCTAAGTGAAGTAACTCAGGAATAGAAGACCAAACATCTTGTGTTCTCACTCGTTAAGTGGAAGCTAAGCTATGGGGACGCAAAGGCATATGAATGAGACAATGAACTTTCGGGGCTCGGGGAAAAGGGTGGGAGGGGATAAGGAATAAAATACTACACACTGGGTACAATGTACACTGCTTGGGTGATGGGTGCACCAAAATCTCAGAAATCACCACTAAAGAACTTAATCATGTAAATAAATAAATAAATAAAAAACTAAACAAACAAGAAATCTTAAGCTTATTTTTAACTTTAAAAAATAAAATGAAAAGATTACTCAATATATTCAATAAATTACTAATCTATGACTTCTTGACAAATGTCCATGGTAAGATGATACTACTGTATTGTTAAGACAAGTCCCACTTTTTAACTAATACTTATATTTAAATACTGTGACTACTTTAAGCTTGGATAAGGGCTAGGCAAATTTTATGTGAGAGTTTGTTTTTTTTCTTTTGAGACGGAGTTTCGCTCTTTTTGCCCAGGATGGAGTGCAGTGGCCCGATCTCGGCTCACAGCAAACTCCGTCTCCCAGGTTCAAGTGATTCTTCTGCCTCAGCCTCCCTGGTAGCTGGGATTACAGGCATGTGTCACCACTCCCGGCTAATTTTGTATTTTTAGGAGAGATGGGGTTTCTCCATGTTGGTCAGGCTGGTCTTGAACTCCCGACCTCAGGTGATCTGCCCGCCTCAGCCTCCCAAAGTGCTGAGATTACAGGCATGAGCCACCACGCCCAGTCGTGAGAGTTTAACTCGTCTACTATTTAGGAAGAAAAACAAAGCTAAAAATTAGTCACTAGTTCAGCCTTATTATTAACATATTTTTGTTCTCTGACAACTCATTAAGGAGTGATAGTAAAGGAGTATCTTTTTTATAGTGATCTGAAGGTAAAGAGCCTTCTTAGAGAAAACTGATCAAGACTTATACTTTACTAAGGGAAAGAAAGGCCTGTTAAAAAGATGTGAGATAAATACATGAAGAATGACTAGTTCTTTCCTAAGCTAAACTGAAATTAAGAACTAGTGAATACTTCAAAAGTATTTGTTGAAAATTAATATAAAATTGCTACACCCTAATACAAAAAAAAAAAAAAAAAAGGGATAAAGTCTTAACTTTCTCTGAATCGTTCTGCCCTTAAACCCAAACTATTGCAACTCTTCCTCCTGCTCCTCTCCCAGGATCACCTGTTTGCAATGACTTCATCTTTGCCTCTAGTCACTCCTCTCAGCACTTCCCTCTAGTAACTTTGTCTGCTCTAGGCCCTCAATTGTTTACTGATATCTCATGCTACAACAATATTTAGAAAACAGGAAGCATTCAACATACTCAGTGCTGAGCAATGAGACGCGGTCTAGATAGATGTCTAAAAGGATTTTTAGCACAGCGACACATAAGAGGGAGCTGGACCAAAAGGAAAGGGGTCTGTGGGCTCAACTGTGAAGAACAGGTGGTGGTGAGAGAGTCTTGGGGAAAAGGAAGCATGAGCATTCTAGAGAGGGAACATAAGCAATGTCTTAGAATTAGAGAGTAGCATGGCGCATTCTGAGAGCCAGCAAGGTGATTTTCACAGTTAAGAGAGAGTTTCTGGGAGAATTAGACCGGGTGGTATTGAGTAGGACAGGATCTTCCAATATAATGATTTAATAGTAAAAATAACAATGAACACTGCTAAGATGTAGTGAATACTTCTATATGCTAGCCACTATGCTTAATGCTCTACAAATAATATGTCATTTAATCCTCACAGCAAATCTATAAGGTGAGGATTATGTGCCTTTTTACAGGTGAGAAAACTGAGTCTGAGAGAGGTTAACTCATCCCAAATCACTCAAACGATAGCTACAGATGCCAGGATATGAATCCAATTCTGATTCTAACGTGTGCTTCTTTATTACTGTACCTAGTATTGGGGGTAGGGAGTGGCAGATTAATTTCAATAGACACTGAAGAGAAAAAAGCTTTCATACTAATGGCCAATAACAATTTATCCTTCACTAAGGTTTTATCTTTTGTACAAAGAATGTTCAAGATTTTATTTTAAAAAGTTACTAAAAATTAGAAACAAATTCTCAAATTAAGGGAATACTTAAATTATGACAATGTAATAGAGTATTATGTAATCATGAAAAATGTTCTTGAAGCATTTTTAATAACATACAAAATCACTTAGGCTACAATGTCAAGAAGGGATACAAATTATGAGGTTAATGAAAATAGCAAAAAGGAAGAATTGAAACAAATATGTAAAAATAACAAAGTAATAATATCTGGGTAGAGGGCCACCAGGTGATTTATTTTCTTTATACTTTTTCCTACAAACTTCAAACTTATCACAATGGGTACCTATTACTTTTAAAAATTAAAAAAAGTAGTGACTAGCAAGACAAGATATCTTTAATGTCCTTTTCATCCAATGATGAAGACCCAAATTTCCTCCTTCTTAACTCTCCTCCCGTCTTAATTTTCTCTGGTTTTCACTCCACTATTTAAGGTGGAAGTGTGCATACTTATTCATATGTCTATATATTTGATGGCAATTGCACTGATGGTAAGACTGTGCAGAAGGGCACCAGGTTAACAGTTGTTTCTCAAAAGAATTGAGAATCATGACTAAGCATGTAGGTTTTAAAGTCACATAGATCTGAGTCTGAATTCTATTACTGTAATTTGCTTACTGTGTGAACTTAGGCAAGTTTCTTAACCTCTCTAAGGTTAATTTTCTAACATGCAAAATTAATAATGATATTTTTCTCATACAGAGTTATGATTTAAAGAGCAAATGCACATAATGTACCAGGCACAGAGAAAAAAACTCAACAAAAAGTAGTTATTATTTGGGAAGTGCTGTAACCTTTATGCTACAAGATTCATATTTTCATCCACATCAGTCTAAATATGTCCTCAAAAGTGAACTGGCAATTATATTTATGTCCCTATTCTACAATATAAAGGGATTTTGCAGAGTTAAGGCCTCTACATTTGAAATCCATTTCCTTTATTACACCGGTGTATTTTGTTATTAGTTTACTTGCTCATTTTCTGTATCCTTTTCAAGATTCTAAGCTCCATGACCAAGTTACTTACCAGAGGCTAGTATAGTACTTGGGAAAGGCTTGTCTTCAATAAAGATCTGTTGAGCAGGTAAAACTTTATAGTGTTCCAATTTCAAATTCTGTATGTCTGTATCTCCAAACGTATTTTGCAACACTTAAGTGGTGGGAATGGAAAAGGGAAACTAAAAGTGACAACCATTTCCAGTCCACCAGAGTCCCTACAACTGCTGTCATTTCTTTTCTTCCTAATCCATTTAGCTAAGCCTTGGAAGAGAGGTCTAGCTCTGCCAAGAGTCTCCCAACATGAGCACTCCAATGAGAACAGTGTAACAATGTACTGTCGAAAATGCACTCTTCCCTAATTTCATACTTCAGAAAAGTAGCCAAATTAAACAGTAAGTTATGACATCTATTGAGAATTGTGAGTGTGCAATGAAGAGTATGGTAGCATTTCCTAGGCAAAAAACAATGCAATTAAAAGCAAACAAACACTAAGTCTTCATTTCTCATCTGAAAAATGGGAGTAATAATACCAGTCTAATAAGTATATTGGGAGGACTAATGGAGATAGAGCATATAAAGTACTTAGCACAAAAGTAAGTACCAAATAAATGGCAGCTATCAATAAAACACAATACTAAGGTGAACAGCATGCAGGGGCAATAACATATCCCATGTGAGCTAATTTTTGAATAGTAAAATTGTCTAGTAACTTGAGTTTCATTTTGAGATTACACTGTATTGCCTGTCAATTTTCATTTGTATGAAACTTTATTATTTAACCCCCAAAATTTAAATCTTTTTATATTTGCATTTTAATACTTGAAGTTCTATAATTTAAATTTTACTTTATGACAAAAGTTATAAAAAACCATGAAATATTAACAACCATTCTTTAAAAAAACTATATACTTTACCTGGCCATTTCCAAGCAGAGATGTATCTTTCCCTATTAGTAAATAGGAGCCAAAAAAGAAAATAAAGGCATGACTGAAACCCAGGATGGTCCAATAAAGAAATGTTTTAATACTTAAGAGGCGGTTTTTACTAATGTCTCTGTTAAAAAGAAGAAGAGAAAAAGAAACACATTAGGGATCATTTATTATTTGCCTACTAAACAATTACTATAATTTGATAATTAAAAAACAAGGTATTTTAAATTTAAAATTGTTTGAAAATATTAGCACAAAGAATAAGTAAATCCAAATTTACAAACCACTACTTATAATACCATACATCTGTTTAATAGCTTACAGTTCACATAATATATTCAAATACATTTCTTCATTTGATAAAGAGATATGAAGACTTGGCACAATGGCTCATGCCTGTAATCCCAGCACTTTGGGAGGTCAAGGCAGGTGGACCACGAGGTTAAGAGATCAAGACCATCCTGGCCAACATGGTGAAATCCCATCTCTACTAAAAATACAAAAATTAGTTGGGTGTGGTGGCACACACCTGTAGTCTCAGCTACTTGGGAGGCTGAGGCAGGAGACTCGCTTCAACCCGGGAGGCAGAGGTTGCAGTGAGCCCAGATCACGCCACTGCACTCAGCCTAGCGACAGAGCGAGACTCCGTCTCAAAAGGAAAAAAAAAAAAGAAATATGATAGGCTGGGCATGGTGGCTCATGCCTGTAATCCCAACACTTTGGGAGGCCAAGGCAGGAGGGTCACCTGAGACTAGGAGTTTGAGACCAGCCTGGGCAACACAGCAAAACCTTGTCTCTACTAAAATTAATAAATAAAAATTTTAAAAAATTAGCCAGGCATGGTGATGTGTGCCTGTAATCCCAGTTACTCCAGAGGTTAAGACAGGAGGATTGCTTGAGCCTGGGAGACTGAGGCTGCAGTGAGCTACGATCTTGCTACTGCACTCCAGCCTGGGTGACATAGCAAGATCCTGTCTCAAAAAAGAAAAAAAGAATTATGATATAGGCATAACACTTCACTTTAATTTTGAAAAGTTGATTTATCTGTTATTATATTCTTCTCTTAACATTCAGTCACTCTGCCATAATGGTCTCTTTTTAGTGAGGTTATCTGAGTTAGGTTCAGCACTGAAGCTCCTAACTTTCCTTCTAATAATAGCTATTATGGGAAGAACAATCTATGCCAATCTTAGGTCAAGCCCTGTCCTAGATAACCTGAGGAATCAAAGTCAATGAATCCAAATCTAGATAATGAGATGCCTCTATAAGTGATACTTCAATAGCTACCTCTGTAATAGCTTATGGCGAATACCATAGCTGGTACTGAGGAACAGGTCCCAGTCACATCTCTGTGATTACTTGGTTCTGGGGAAGCAGGAATAAAGCAGAGAATCTGGGGTGGGAATTAATGTCCTCACCTCTGGATTTTGCACTAATTATTACATAAATTTTGCTAACAGTAGAAAAAACACTACCTTTTAGGAATTCTAGAGATTATCAATTATGAATAACTTCTTTTGTGCACATGAAATGAATGTTACTGGTTGCAACAGTAAGTGCAAATTACACAACTGCTCGGTGCTTTCCCAGGATGAAAGTGCTCATTCTTAAAAAACACTGGAAAATTTAATTCAAATTTTGTCTTTGAAAGAAACCTTTTTTCTCTGATATTCAACAACTGTAAATCATACCACAACTGAAGAATTTTCCTTAGGAAAGCATTAATCACCAAGACATAAATAAATCTGCTTATTTTTTACTTAAAAAAACTGAGAAGGCCATTTAATACCAGAAAATACTTACCGATAGAGAGTAGGCTTATTTTGTAACACATGAGGGTCTACATGCTGTTCCAAAAGACTATATATCAGAATAGGTAGGGAAGTAAAACAAATATTGTATAAAGTCAGGTACACGCCATCATACAACGTCTAGAAAGAGAAATCGGTAGGAATGTTGAGATTCTGAATTATGCATTACTATTATGCATATATCACAACTATGCACATTAAAAACAAAATTAAACAGTTTTAAAAATTTATACTAAAATCCATTTTAGTAACTCCAATTAAATAATTCTAATTTGTTTTTAATATTGACATAAACATATAATGTTCCCAGGTTGATACTCTTTGTGCGAACTGGAATATTTTGCTATGTCAGGTGCTTCTGGAATTACAGTGAGTTAGATAAACATTTCAAGATTCTCCACAATTTGATCACTGTGAAGTAATTTTATATAATTCTTCTCCATGTATTCCAGGCATCTTACTACTTGTTTCACATGCAACACATATAGTTTACCTTTCATGGCTTTGTCTCCCTTTCTACACCCTACCCTTCCTTTAAGGCACTGAACGAGACTATCTTATTCCATGAAACTCTGCACGATGGCTTAACTCCTTAACAATATCCTGCTCCTCTAAACAGTCACAGGCACCACTGTTGGTACTAATCACTTAGCACTCTGCCTATGCTTTACATATTGTTTTTATTGTTATTAATACTGCCTCCCAAATTACACTATAAACTCTCCAGAAAACCTAATCAAAATAGGTCAGTTTTCCCTGTCATATTGTCTTAACACATTCTTTAGTTCATTCAGGTAAACAAACTTTTACTGGTAATCAATGCCCAAGCAAATATTTGGAATTTAGAGTTACAGGTTGTAAACAGGATAAAACAGCAATTAAGAATAGGAAAAACTCATGAAAAACCTAAGATAATAAAGCTCTTTTTTTTTTTTCCAATAAATTAGAACTAATGTCTTGATCAATTTGAGATGTATAGTATGGTATGTGAAAAGGGTGCCTGCCACATTAGTCAGAAGCAGTAGGTCAAAGTCATAGTTTAGTCATTAAGTTAGCAAGCCAAGTTACTTAATTTCTGTGGATTTCATTTTTCTTTTCTAGAAATTAAAACAAAGTAGATCAGGACTGGTAAGTATGTGACATGCATGCAAACAAAGGCCTACCCTGTGCCCATTACAACTACTGCTAACGAATTACATTTTCCCTCTGAGCCTGCGGCTTTAGAAGCCTTTTCAATATACTCTAGGTGCCCCATCAATTATTTAAAGGGAGTTTCTGAGATAAAACCTATATGTCATCCCTGGACTAAATCACTATTGCTCCTTCCAAATCCAAGACATTTCGAACCAAAACAAAAATGAGGTGAACCTCCAAGTTATCTGGCCTGGCTTGATTTGGATTTTACAGGAATATCACAAATAAGTTATCAAAATTCTCTCATAAGCTGTTAAGGGTTATTATCTATTTTTAAAAGCATCCAGAATTATATTTTGGTATTAACACTCACCTCAAACTGAAAACTAGAATAAATAAATATTATGAATATTATGCTGGTTAAATATACTAAACAGTTTTGTCTGGTTCCCTGCAGGACTAAGAAAAATGAAAAAAGTCCCTTCAAACATCTATCAAAGTCTGAACATAAATACCTTACTCTAAAAGGACAAAACACAAAACACAAGTTTCTATTTACTTACTTGTTGAGAAAACAAACAGTAGAACTGATACAAAAACTGGGGTGTGATAAAGCACACATTCTGAAAAACAAGATTAAATGGAAAATAATTAAAATATTTAGGTCTAAAAGACAAAATAAAAAATAAAAATAATGGCTTTAAAGTATCCAAAAACAATCTCAGTTGGTATGGTAAGTAAAGGATAAGGACTTGTCTATATATAACACGAATGCAGGATTCCCATTTTATCAAAAAATGTCTAAAAACATTCTAAGCAACAGTGCAGATATCAGAATGAAAAAACCCTTGACTCCTCTCATTGCCAAGCAATACTATAATTTTGAATTTACAACCTTCAAACTATTACTCAATACTTTTCATAATAGTATACAATAAGTAAGACTTACTTAAACTTTAGGGCTATGATATCTTTACAACACAAAAATGTTTAAAACACACAATAAATCAAACTATCAAAACTTCTTCCCATCTCAATATACTCATATTACAAGTAAAAGCTAGAAAAATAAGTTAGAAAAAAACTGCCATCATCATCTTAGAGCAATAAGCAATCTACATATGTTCTATCACTGGATTGTAGCTATCAATTATAGAAATATATGCAACATAGTACACTCTGGTGTTATTAAATATATCGGTAACAGGGACTCTTAATGTGGGTTCTACAGACTCCCACCTTATACAAAAGGACCCAAAGATAGGACAGTATTTCAACATAATTTGTTTCTTTGTAATCCTATGTATTTTACCTTATGCACATAAAATCTCTATATTGAGGAGCTCACACATTTCACTAGACTACTAAAGGGTCATTCATGGCATAAAAAAGGCTAAAAACCTCTACTTGAAACCATTATATTGGTGTTAAAACTTATTGCTGGTTCAGGACAAAATAACTTTAAAGATATCAAATGTACTGTGTTCCAATTTGCACGGAACCCGTGGGCCACAGGCAACCACTGATTTGCTTTCCGTCAGTATAGAATAGATTCATGACAAAATACTGTTATTTTTACTTATTGAAACTATTTTAAAGAAAAATGTATACAGTTACAACATTCCTTAAATTGAAACTTCATATTACTGTATCAATAATTGGTTCTAAATACATGAAACTCACCTTATAAAAAAAATACTGTACAAGGGTAGCTATTCTAATATAATAAAAATGACCATGAACAAAAAGCAATTTGGAGAGGAATTTAAATCTGGCTATTGCATAGTCACTGTTTCTTGCAGCCTGTCTTCCTTCTTTACCCATGATTCCTATAATAAAAGGGACAAAAGATGTGTTCACTGGTAACTGGTAAGTGTAATTTTCATGATAAATCTGCAAATATCTTATTTATATTAGTTGAACATGCACTTAGGAACTTTAAATTCTATATACAACAGATGTCCAAAAGGTTGTTCTACTTGAATATGTAATTAATATAAAGCTACGATATTTATCAGACACATAACACCAATTTCCAAAGAATTAGAATATAAAAAGATAAAATACAATATAAAAAGTATTAGTGAAAGTTAAGGATTTAGCAGGAACATCAATATTACACTAATTAGCACAAGTACTGGGTAACAGACTTCTGACGGACAGAATGCTGTAAAATACTTAAATACTTCACTATTTTCAATGAATATAAAAAATATTCAAATTGAGTCATTTGAGATTAGCAAAATAAGCATGCTTAACACTTTCATGAATAAGTCAAAGTGTGCTTTTTAAAAGGAAAATGTGAATTTAAAATAAATTTTTTAGAATGTACAGTATCATTTGAAATCAGTGCATCATTTCATCTGACAAATATGAATACTTTTTTAATGGTTACAATATTCCTTAAGGTTTCAAAAGAGAAGAAGAGTCATTGCCAAGTTTGTATTTTTCAATCTAGAAGCAACTTTTAAAAACTATTTTTCAAAACTAAAACTTTTGTCACAAAAGGATGAAAGTGTTCCAAAATGTATAAGCAACGAAAAAAAAAAAACTGTATTCATAATCCCTAGAGAAAACCCGTTTTTAGTCTGCATTCTTTTAGAAATTTTCTTTCTGCTTATTTCATGTCTGTGTGTGTATGTATTTCATACATACAATAAAATGTGGCTCAGGCTGGGTGCGGTGGCTCAAGTCTGTAGGATCCCAGCACTTTGGGAGGCCAAGGCAGGTGGATCACCTGAGGTCAGGAGTTCAAGACAAGCCTGGCCAAAATGGTGAAACCCCATCTCTACAAAAATACAAAAATTAGTTGGGCATGGTGGTGGGCACCTGTAATCCCAGCTACTTAGGAGGCTGAGGCCAGAGAATCGCTTGAATCCAGGAGATGGAGGTGCCATGAGCCAAGATTGGGCTATTGCACTCCAGCTTGGGAAATAAGAGCGAAGCTCTATACCAAAAAAAAAAAAAAAAGACATGAGAGACTATTAATTGTTTTACACTTGTTTTTGCGGTTGCTAACAGACGGACGGAACCACTTGCTTAAAATGTATGACTTGTAATGGATATATCCTTAAAACACGCCAATTTTTTTCCTACAAGAAAATTCCGCATGGCATAATGCGAATGTCAATGCCATACATTTAAAATTTGTTGAATAAGATGCAGGGCTTACCCAAATTAGTCCCACTAAAACATTGTATAAGACAATTTGTTAATCTATACCGCTTACCAACCTCCAGGTTATCAATCTGTTTTAACGATGTCAATCTGATAAGAAGATTAAACTTCCATTCGCTCGGAATGTAGAAGACCACTAAACTTTTTTCATACATTAGTATTCTTTTTAGATTTCTTCCTTTGTACATGATGGGCCAACACCTT